TAATATGGACTCAGATATTGCGGAGTCAAAGTAACAAATCATACTTAACCTCCAAACAGTGACGACAGCCCACCTGACATGGTGCAACCACCCTCGTGTGACCAAAACCACACAAACTCTTTCCCCAAAAGAAGATACAAAGGCCCTTTCTCCATCTTCAGATGAAGATATCATTCCTCTTGCTGAGACACGCTCTCTATTAGATTTCTAGTAACTTAAATACTGAGTTACAAAGTTAACTACGATTAGTGCATTTTATGTTAGATGTTTGAGAAACAGAAGAGGGAGAGAGAAAAAATGGTTAATATATTACTATAAAACAAATAGCTTCACAGAAAAATAAGAATGAACTAGTCGTAACTATTATAGCCCTCATTTCTGCAACTGGTCATGCGGTTGTAGCTGACATTTATAGCTGTTTCCTTTCACACCCCGTCCGTATTCTCTGCACCTACAATGAGCACCTGGTGTGGCCAAACTTGCCCGGAAGCAGAAAAGAGAATTCTGGGAAATGTAGCAGGCTTAGCTGTGCTCACCCCCTCCATAGAAAGCTGCCCCGTTGGTCTGCCATCTATGGTGATGAAACAAAGTCCCTGTTTTAAATATCTCTATTTAAAGGCTGGGCATGGAGGTTCATGCCTATAATCCCAGCACTTCGAGACGCCAAGGCAGGAGGATCACTTGAGCCCAGGAGTTCAAGACCAGCCTGGGCAACATAGCAAGACCCTGTCTCTACAAAAAATAAAAAAATAAATAAAATTTTTAAAAAGAACAGTATCGGTCATTTAAGAAAAATACTGTCAGTAGTAGTACAGGTGGATATAATAGATACAACATGCAAATGATCAAAGTATGGGAGACACTGACCAATAGGATTAAACACCTCTGGCTTAGAAGCCATGTGCTTCCACAACACCTAGCCCCTGCCTAGCTCTCCCCCTTGTTCCACCTCCTCTCTCCCATAGCACCTCTCTCCCAGCTGCCCTGAAACTGTCACTGTTCTAGCCACACCAGGCCTCTCTGAGTCTGACCCTTTGCATGTGGTGTGGCTTCTTTCTGGAATGCCTCCGCCTCCAGTCTCTCCAGCCCTCACTTTGCAAACGCCTCTGATCCACGAAGACTCTCCCCCAAGGCAGAGGCTGTTGCTCCGTCCCCACTGTCCATCACACGGCATGGTCATTTATCTGCGTCTCCCTCTCCCACTGGGAGGTCTTCAGCCAACGCTCTTCAATCCCTGGGGCCTGCCTGGCCTCCTGGGCTCTTCCCTCCCTCCTAAGACAAGGCTGTGCCCATCCGCCCCATCTGAGCATCTTAAGTCAGGTTTCCCAGAGCAGCCCTGAGAAGCCCATTTGTGTGCATGTGATTAATAAAGGAAATGTAGCCAGGGGAGGCAGGTGAGAGCAGGGGACATGGGACAGGAAGGGTGAGAGGCTCAGGGCAAGTCCCACAGAGGGAACCCGTCTGCTCCCACACTGGAGCAGGAGTAAAGCTTCGGAGTCGCCCTGACCGCAGGCACAGGAGCTGGGCTCTCCTGCCCATACCCAAGCGCTGGTGAAGGGCCACTCCAGGGACTTCCACTCCCAGGAACGGCCCATCCTCTGCTGGCATGGCAGAGCCACAGGTGTTGGCGGCTGGGGCCACGCATCCATCCAAATGATCCAGGCAGAGAGACGGGCAGAGAATCAGAGCTTGCTGCAGGCCGCTCCTTGCCCCGACAGATCCACATACATCTCGAATTAATCCCCTTGTGGGTGGAGAACACTGGTGAACGTTCCTCCTCTCCCATTCCATCCTGTTCCAGAGCCACCTGCCTCCAGCACTCCTGCTGGTCTAGGGGCTGCCCTGATGGGGTGACTCAAACCCTTGGGGTCAGAGCTCCTGTTGGAGGATCTGGATATCTGCCTCCTCGGCGAATTTAACTCAGGTAAATGGCTCTAGGTCCACTCGGGGAAGAGCTGGGGAAGTTACTACTGTCTACATATCCCACACATAGTGGCATCATAAAGTCTGAGAACTGGCTCAGATCCAGAAGCCGGGAAAGAGATGATGACGTCCCACTGGGGAAACTGACAATGGCCTTCAAGGTCACACCTTGACCTTTGGGGGAGGATATATAGATCAAGCCATGCCCTAGCTGGCTGCCTACCTTTCTCATCCCTGGGGACACCACGGTCTGTTCCCCGCCATTCCAGCCCCCCTGAGGTCTGAGCCACCCCAATCTTTCTGCCAACTTCAGTAATTACATCCACCTTGCCCTGGGGGTTAAGCACTACATGTGGCCACTGCTGTTCTTGGATCCTGCCACCCCCATGGACATGAGGGAGTCCAGTTCCATGACAGCACCTCCAATGTCAGCCCTGGTCTCCCCAGAGAGAACAGCCACTGCTGAGCTCCTTGAGGAAGCAGGCCACCCACCCCCTGCACATGCCCGCTCTCCTTAGCGGAGGGAGGGCCCAGCCCAGCGTGCTCTCTGGGTACCTGCAGGTACGCAGCAGCCAGGTCTTGCAGCTCCCTGGGTGAATAAGTCCTTCCCTCCCTTCACAAAATCAGCACCCCCCAGCCAGGCCGTGCTGGGACTAGAACTTGGTTATAGGTCTCACAGCCAGGAAGGGAGGTGGGGGCAGGCCGTAAGGGGAACAAGTGTTGCCTTGAAAGACATCTGCCTCAGTGAGACCTTTGTGTGGTCTTCAGGCAAGGGTTGGGGAATACAGCTGCTATCTCTGGAAGGGAAAATGGGCTCCTTCTGCAGGCTGAGAGGGTTGGGGGAAGGAGGGAGCTCAGTGTTCTCAAGCACGTCACCCAGATACCCCCAATCCAAGCTGGAGGGTCCCACTCTTTCCACATCAGAGCCCTGATGTGGGTCTAGCCCAGCCTTCTCTGAAGTTTCTCTGCTTTTGCATTGGGTCCTGTGCCGGGTCTGCAGCAGCCTGCCCTTGGCTAAAGGAAATGGGGGTCTCTGGACCCTGCATGGGGGCCTTCTGACTGCCCCTTTGTGACTTCGGTTGATGACTGTGGGCCTGAACCCCTCATTTTCCTTCATCATGGCATGAACTGTGTTTGGCCAAGCCAAGCAATCCCACAGTCCCTGTAGTGACCGCTGCCCCTAAGTATCTCCCATGCTCAAGGTACCGCATGAGCCTCAGCGCCCCCTCCCACCCGATAGCCTGTCCTGCTTATCGGTACAGCAGCGAGAGGCAGCCGCCACTCGCCGCCCCCCAACAAGCAGCTCCCTGTTGCTACCCGATGGGCAAATGACCCAAGCCCAGAATCTCAGCTTTAGACTCCACTTCCCAGGATCACTGGTGACACCATGAGTCTCAGGGGAGGCTCCCGAGAAACTGACCTTGAAACGAGGATTTATGAGTGAGTGATGTATTAAGGACATGCTCCCTGGTGGTGTCAGAGTAAGAGAAGTGGGACAAGGAAAGAGAGCAAGCGGAGTAGAGGTGCAGTCTTGAGCAAAATTCTGCAAAGAACGCTTCACTGGATCCCACAGCCAAAGTCAAATGTGACTCACGCCTCCGAGTCATCCTGGCCAGGAGCGGGAAAGCTTGGCTTGCAGCCTCCTCCCACACTTGTCTGAACAGGTCAAGGGCAACCACAGGGGAAGGCACTTCTCAGGGACATCTGGCTTTCTGCACAGGTGAGTTAAAGGGGCCCCAGCAGCCCTAGGGTTGTCCTCCAAAGAAGGTCTGGGGCTAGGGACTGCTGGAGGTAACAGCTGGGGGCAAGAGGACACAAGAACGGTTAACAGGGGCCGGAGAGTATCTGGCAGGTCGAGTCTCAGAATCAAGGACTCTCAGTGCTGAATGGGGCATCCAGGCTCACGACTTCCCCCCGAGTGGCCATCCCATAGGGCTGGACTCATCACCAGGACAGCACTCCCGGTTGCAGCTGGACTAAACTGAACTGATTCAGGCTGGTCCTTACAAAGCCGCTACCTCTGGTCCCCGTCCCTCCCATGAGGGTCTTACTAAGTAAGTCATTCCCCAGCCAAGGGCCTCAGGCTGGAAGGTGGGTCTGCGGTGGGGAGGACCCTGCGGTGGGGAGGACCCCGCAATGAACCTGAACAGTTAAGTTCCATGTTCAGGAGCAATCACAACAATTTTCCTTAAAAATGAAGCCCCATGGCAGGACCCAAAATCCAAAGGCGAAAACACAAAGACAGGACACTATTTCCTCATTTTAATTTATTTTTCATTTTTTGTTTCTCACTTACCAACACATTTGTAAAAATGTAGCAGGCTGTGTTAGTAAAGGAGAAGCAGGGAGGGAAAAGAAGGGCAGGAAAGAAGCGGACACACATGAAAAGTCAGGTGGAGCAGGAAGTGCTTGGGGACCAGAGGTGGTGGGGGACCCCCCACCCCCACCACCCCCTTTCCGCAAGGCATCAGCAACTGCTGCTGCTCTCACAGCCCCCACCCCAGACGATTTGGTAAACATGATAAAGAGCATTTCTGTTGCCCCCACTGTCCTTGTCCCCAACATTCTTCCCCCAGCCCCGGCATGGGGCAGGGTCTGCTTGGCAGGTCTTCCCCCACCCGCCATGGTCGCCTGGTTCAGAACCCAGCCCCTGGGTCTCAAGGCGCATGGCCCTGGGCAGCATCTGAGAAGCCTAGAGCCGGTGGATCCCAGGGAGGCCACAGTGGGGATACCCGGGAGCTCTTTCCAGATCCTTCCTCTAACACTTTGGAAAACAACCCTAGAACTCCCCTGCTTCAGCCATAGGCTCTTACTCGAGAGGACATTAAGGGGCGCAGTGGGCTGGGGAGCACCGCAGCAGAGCCCGGGACTCCCTTGGAGGGAAGGTTTTACCTTTGGCCCAGAGCACGTCTGCCCGGCATTTATTTGCACATTGACCCGGGGAACACTCTGACCCTGTGTTTATGAACACAGGCATTTTCATCAGAATTGCATCCACCCCGATGAATTTTCATCCTAGAAAGTATTTTCAAGGCAAATGCCCCTGAGGACAATTTAATGCCCTCATCAGTTTTCTACATAGTGCACATAAAGTTTCCTTTTTTTGCCCGTTTTTCTCCTTGAAATAATTTCACCAGGATCAAATCTTTCCCATGCTCATTTCACGACATGTGTTTGATTCCCTGGTTCGTGTCCGCATGAAATGTCACCAATTGTGGCTGAGAGTTTCCTCTGTGGCTCTCGTTTCTCACTGGGCAGCCCTCTTGGCCACGCTGCTCAGGAACAAATGTGTCCCACGTGCTGTTTCTGCCCCAGTTGGGCTTTTCTCTTGAGGATCGTTTTGGGGGATGACGTGTGAACCCCGTACTTTCAGGGACTCCGGGCCACTATGGAAGCTGGCCTCCCCCAAGGCCATTCCAAGATGTCTCCAGCGAGCGACCACGCGCCGGGGTCAAGGTGTCCTCCCCCTGCGCCCTAGGTGTGGGGCTTCCCGCAGGCAGCGTGGCTCCGCGGCTCACGGAGCCTTGTCGGTGGGCGCAGTGGCCTGCTCGGCGCGCGGGGGACCTCCGGGGGCTGCGGGCCGCGGGGCACGCAGCAGGCCGAGGCCCCTCGAACGGCCGGCGCCGTGCAGTTGGCGCTCGTGGCGGCGGATCTGCACCTTGTGGCGGAAGCGCTCGCCGCAGTCCTCGCAGACGTACGGCCGCTCGCCCGAGTGCGTGCGCCGGTGGCGCAGCAGGTTGGAGGACACGCTGAAGCGCTTGCCGCAGTCGCCGCAGGCGTAGGGCCGCTCGCCCGTGTGCGTGCGCTGGTGCTGCACGAGCGCCGAGCTCTCGCTGAAGCGCTTGTTGCAGTAGGAGCAGGCGTAGGGCTTCTCGCCCGTGTGGATGCGCTGGTGCGTCACCAGGTTCGAATGCTGCGAGAAGCCCTTGCCGCACTCGCCGCAGCGGTGCGGCCTCTCGCCCGTGTGCGTGGCCTGGTGCCGCACCAGGTCCGTGCTGCGGCTGAAGCCCTTGCCACACTCCCCGCAGATGGTCGGCCGGTCCCGGGCGCGCCGCCGCCTCCGCTGCCGCGCAGGTGTCAGCGCCGCGCTGCCCGCCGGGCCCGGGATGGCCACCACGGTCGGCGTGGCCACGGCGGGCAGCACCATGAGCTCCTGCAGCACCACGTAGCCCGGCGGGGCCACCACGACCGCGGCAGGAGCCCCCGGCACAGCCGCCCCGCTGCCCCCTGCAGCGGGCACCAGTTCCAGCTGCAGCTCTGGCTGCTGGGCGCCCAGCTCCACGGGGGTCAGCTCCAGCTGCACTTCCTGCTGCTCCAGCTGCTGCTGCTCCAGCTGCTGCTGCTGTTCTAGCTGTTGCTCCAGCTGCTGCAGCTGCTCCTGCAGTTTCAGCTGCAGCTGCCTCTGCTCCTGCTGCCGCTCCAGTTCCTGTTGCCGCTCCAGTTCCTGCTGCCGCTCCAGCTCCTGCCGCTGCTGCTCCAGCTCCTGCTCCTGCTCCGACTCCAGGTCCACAGGCATGAGCTCCAGCTCCACCTCTTCCTCCTCCTCTGGCTCCATCGGAGGGGGCTGCAGCTGCTGCTGTTGCAACTGTTCTTGCTGCTGTTGCAACAGCTGCTGCTGTTGCTGCTGCTGTAACTGTGCCTGCTGCTGCAGCAATAGCTGCTGGTGTAACTGTACCTGCTGCTGCTGCAGCAGCTGCTGCTGTAAGTGTGCCTGCTGCTGCTGCAACAGCTGCTGCTGTAATTGTGCCTGCTGCTGTAGCAACAGTAACTGCTGCTGCTGCTGTTGGAACTGTTGCTGCTGATGCAGCAGATGCTGCTGCTGTAACTGTTCCTGCTGTTGCTGCAACAATGGTTGCACTTGCTGCTGCGGTAACTGTTGCTGCTGTTGCTGCAACAATGGTTGCATTTGCTGCTGCTGTAACTGTTCTTGCTGTTGCTGCAACAATGGTTGCACTTGCTGCTGCTGTAACTGTTCCTGCTGTTGCTGCAAAAACTGTTGCTCTTGCACTTGCTGCTGCTGTAACTGTTTCTGCTGCTGCAGCAACAATGGTTGCTCTTGTACTTGCTGCTGCTGTACTTGCCCCTGCTGTTGCTCTTGCACTTGCTGCTGTTGCTCTTGCACTTGCTGCTGTTGTAACTGTTCATGCTGCTGCTGTAATAGCTGTTGCTCTTGCACTTGCTGTTCCTGTAACTGTTGTTGCTGTTGCATTTGCTGCAGTTCTGGTTTCAGTTCCTGATGCTGCATGGATTGGTGTTTTTCCTGTAGTTCCTGCTGTAGTTGAGATAGCTGCTGTTGCCCATCCTGCTGCTGCTGCTGCTGCTGTTGCAATTCTGGCTGATGTCGTAATAGTTGGTTTTGTGGTTGCTGCTCTTGCAGCTGCTCAGGCTGTGGCTGTTGTTGCAGCTCTGGCTGCTGTTCTGACTGTTGTGACTCCTGTTGTTCCAGCCGGGCTCCCTCAGTGATTTCCCTGGCCTCTGTTGGGGCTGTGATTGCTGGCTGTTGGGGGCTGCTCCTGTCCTCCTGAGCCTCTTCCTCCTCCTGACTCTCGCTCCCACCGCTGCCACCTGTAGCAGAAATGGCAGGAAGCCAGGAAAGAAAGATCTACAGATAGCTCTCCTGTCCAGAACCCCAGGACCTGTCCTCTTCCCCTGCCCATGTACAGCCACTCAAAGATACCCTAATGTGCTCTCAGCAGGGACCCAAAAGTGCTGGATCAAATGATAATGGCAGCACAGCAGAGATTGAAATGCTATGGGGGTGGTGGGAGTGTGGCTTGGAAAATATGCCCAAGGGACTGCTGGTCACCCCAGTTTGGACACCAGCTCCCTGACCTCTCCACTGGGCTTCCCTTGACACAAGCTCCATGCTTGTGTGACATTGACACCAGCATGGGTGCCTGGGGCTCCCTGACACCATTCCCTGAGAAATCTCTTGTGCTTAGTCGCCACCCAGTGGAACTCAGTGAACCGACTACTCCAACAGCCAAGCCATCAGCCCTGTGCTGAACTCTGACCTCAGCCACGGTCATATCTTTAATAAATGCCAACTCGCCTTCTCTGTAAATAGTAAAGAATTTCTGTAAAGCTGCCTAGAAGTGTTACCACTAGTAGTCTCCAAAAATCACCAATGTGTCAGAGAGACCACTAGGTTCCAGGTAGGAAGTCCTCAGCTCAGAACCTAACTCTACCAGTTGGCAGCTGTACAACCTCCTGCAGGCTCGCAGCTTAGTGAGACCCACACCATCCCCTTAAGCAGTAAAGCAGGAAGGACCCTGGCATATTCCCTAGAACCTAGTAGGTGCTTAAAAATTTCCTCTCCCTGCAGGTCAGGATTAGTTCACAAAGTAATAAAAAGTACCAAGGATACAACTAGCTCCATTCGAAACTGCCTAAAGACCGGAAGTGTTTAGATTGTCATTCCGGAATGGAAAGGACTGACTCACAGCCTCGACATGATGACTGACCAATTACTTAACTTCTGGGAACCTCAGTCTCCCCTTCTGCTAAAGGACATAAATCCTTTTCAGGGACGTTGTGAGAACGAGGATAACCGTGGAGCGCTGGCGTTGAGCAAGGCACGGGGTAAGTGCTGCATTACCCAGAGTCACTCAAGGTTTCCCTTTCTGTGCAACATCCACATTCAGCTTTTCATTCTGAGTGTGACTATTGTGCTATCCGGAAATCCTAATTCTTCTCTACATGGGTGACCCTAGGAGGCTTTCTCCATTCCCAAGTCTGATTTCAACATCTCTTCTTCTTACAGCACCACAGTTTCAGTCTGGTAATGGAAAGTGATGGCTTGATTTATAAAATTGTGCTTTCTGGCCACGTTACCAGGAATATATTGATTTAACAAAACCAAGGGATATCTGCATGTGTATAATTTCCTTTCAGTAAAATATTCCTAATAACCTTTGCTTAGGCTAATGGATCAGTGAGCTGATTTTTTCATAGATACTCAAACCCCTTGGGAGGATGCACATGGCAGATGAAGACAGCCACGAAAACCTGTCCCCTAGTGAGTCCGATGTCTCATAGACATGCCCTTCTCGCACCGCCTCCTGTGGAAGCAAGATCATGCCTCCACGCAAATCTCATTTCTAGCACAGTGCTTGGCCATATGGCAGCTCTAACTTCCTGGGACAGCAGTTTCAGCATTTTTAACGAAGGCATTTTAGTGAGCATCTAGTTAGGTGTTGTCTGATGTGTACGCCCTCGCAAGATTTTGTCAGTTAAATTTGTAAGTCAGAAGAATCCTTGTTTAGTCCGCACATCCCCATCCAACCCCTCCAATTCCCTTGGTCCTTTTCAAGCTCTGTCCAACCCTGCCCCTCTGCCCAGCACTCTTAAAACACAGAACGGGAAACCGGCTCTGGAGAGCGTGGCCACCAGAGAGTTTTGCCCGGTGTGGGTCCCAGAGGGAAAGGTCTTGAGAGGTCCTGCAGGACCACGTGTGCCTCTGGGCATCAGGTGGAAAAAACAGATAGAAGCAGAGGTCAAGGAAAAGTGGACAAGGTTAGAGGCCACAGGGGACAAGAAGCCACGGAGCCAATGTCTGAGGCAGGAGGGGCAGAGGAAGAGAGCCTGCCAGCACCTGAATTCCATCGAGGAAATTAAGTCGGGAGCCAGGGCCAGGTGGGAGGATGACGGTGTCCCCTAACTGCTGGGGACACAAAGCAGTGGGTTCCAGCCAGCATAAACGTGGGGACTGGGAGCTGAGACAGTCATACTTCCAGATAGCCCCTCACCAGTGGGACCTCAGCCTGACAGAACCACCATGGAAAATCCCCAGGCAAAGCTGCCATGTTACACACATGAGCCGATGTGGGCTACCCACCACCCTCTGGCCTCTTTCTGCCACGGCAGGCCTGGGGCTTTGTCAAGGATCCTGGAGGGGTCTAAGAGCCCCTCCCAGCCTCTCACCTGAGAGGGTGTCAGGCCCTGGGCCCCCATCCTCAAGACATCTCAGCTCCAGCACGAAGGTCTTGGTTGCCGGCCCCACCTCCATCCTAGCAGTCAGACCAGGATCCCGGGGAGCCGGCTGTGCTGAGAGGAAGGAAGGAAGCTGTTCAGATGGGCCAGGGTGCTGCAAGCCCCCTGCTGGGTGCCACCAACCCCCAAAGGCCCTTCACTTCTGCCTCAGGCTACCCCAGAGCTGGCAGCTCCACCCCTGCTGCAAAAGCTGCAAAAGCAGCTCATTGCAGGTCACAGCAGGGAAGAGGGGGCGAGGGTGGCCTGGAGGGTTAGGGCTAGGGAGGTGGCAGCAGCCCTTGGACCCCATTCCTGCACAGAGGCCCGGCTGCTTCTTCTGACTTTGCACGGGGCTCCTAGGGCAGCCCATGCAGCTGTGTCTCACTGAGACAACTGCAGGAATCAGGCGCTCACAAGGCAGGGGAGGTGAGGTCACAGAAGGGACATTTGGGAGAGCTCTCTAACAAAAGAGAGACTGTCCACCAACATTCCCCCTGCCCCCTTCAGCTCTGTTGCCTCCGTGGCCTGCTCTGGGGGCTCATCCAGCCTTCTAAGGCCACCAGCAGGCCACGTGTTCCTGGTGCCACCTCAGCTGCCTGGGAGACAGGTGTCCAGAGCACTATAACACATGGCAGTGCAGGCTGCCCGCCTGGCCCTGTGCCCAGCGCTCCTGAGAGTCCGCCCTGGCCGCACAGAGGTGGCCCCACATCTAGTCCTCCCCTCTCGCCCAGACAGGCTGACTCCACGTCCCTCTAGCTTTTGGGAATCCAGTCGGAGCCCACTTCAGGGAAGCGTCCCGGTCGCCCAGGCCAGCTACCCACTGGGCCTCACCTGGTACAGCATTTCCTGCTCTCGGGGCAGCCTCTGCGCTAGGGGAGGTGTGGTCAGCAGAGGCTGGAAGGTGAAGGCCAAACCATGCAGCTGGCTCCTTCCGGAAGCGCCTCCATCCAGAAAGAGCCAGGGAGGCGCGAGCCTACCCGGTGGCCTTTCTGGGCACTCCGTAGGGTCGGCACTGTGAGGGCTGCCCAGGTGGCCCTGCGCCAAAAGAAGGGGCAGAGTGGAGCTCCGGAGCAGAAGTTGGTGGAGACTCCCGGGCTGGGGGTAGGGGCGCGGGGCTCAGGGCTGGCCCGGCGGGACCATCGCGGGCAGCAGGGTCCTGGTCCGCCCCCGAGGTCGGCACCGCGGGGTGGCCCAGTCTCAGGCCGGCGGTGCCCGGGCGACACAGGTCCTCGGTGGCCCGTGGCCACAGGTGCCCGGAACCCGCGGGCGGCCTGGGCCGGGCCGCGCGGGCCGGGGCGGGGGGCGGG